ATCAACAAAGAGTGTTAATGAACTAACCTAACACAAAGCTCTGTTTTCGTCTTTGGAAATTGTGGTAAACCTGGTCATTTTTCTTTTATTCTGCACAAACAAATCCTACAAAAAATGTATTTGATTCCTATACCTACTCATCCTTATATTTGTCAATCAAATGGGAGCATTAACTATTTCTGTGTCTGTCTATCCATGATGATTTACATTCTCAATGGTGGTCTGGAAAAAAGGCCATAAATGGTACGCACACACTGATCATTTATCATGCATGTTTGTAAATATACAACAAAGGAGCTAATAGAAACATAGAATGTGACGGCAGATAAGAACCATTCGGCCCATCTAGTCTGCCCAATTTTCTAAATACTTTCATTAGTCCCTAGTCTTATCTTATAGTTAGGATAGCCTTATACCTATCCCACGCATGCTTAAACTCCTTTACTGTGTTAACCTCTACCACTTCAGCTGGAAGGTTATTCCATGCATCCACTACCCTCTCAGTAAAGTAATACTTCCTGATATTATTTTTAAACCTTTGTCCCTCTAATTTAAGACTATGTCCTCTTGTTGTGGTAGTTTTTCTTCTTTTAAATATAGTCTCCTCCTTTACTGTGTTGATTCCCTTTATGTATTTAAATGTTTCTATCATATCCCCCCTGTCTCGTCTTTCCTCCAAGCTATACATGTTAAGATCCTTTAACCTTTCCTGGTAAGTTTTATCCCGCAATCCATGAACCAGTTTAGTAGCCCTTCTCTGAACTCTCTCTAAAGTATCAATATCCTTCTGAAGATACGGTCTCCAGTACTGTGTACAATACTCCAAGTGAGGTCTCATAGAACCAGCTATTGTTCTGTCTGTCTGTCTATCTAACCTGGGATCTGCGGACAACGTTTTTGCTTTTATGATGCCTCGGTGCTAAATCTCCGGCCCCATCCATACAAACATAAAGGATATTTATATATCTAAATATAAAGAAGAAGAGAGAATGAGAGATGCATAATCATGATGATGAACCATGTATCATGGACAATTATGCCATTCCTGAAAAAAAATATATAAATATTATTTAATAGTTAGATTTGGCATGGTGTGGAGATGCTGAAAGTAAGGAGTTACCTCTTGTGGCCATCTGAGTGACTGCCACTAGAGACGTTACTAGCCAGCAATGTAAATAGTGCCTTATCTCTGAAAAGACAGTCTTTACAGTGCTCAGCCTGCAGCAGCATGCTGTAGACACCAGAGCCACTTTATTTAGCTGTAGTGGTTCTGGTGACTAATTGGTAAAAAAAAAAATATATATTTTTTTTTTCTTTCCTCTTCTCTTTTTCCTTTCCCTATTCCTTTCAATAAAAAAAAAAAAAAAATGTTATAAAAAATAGAACAGATCAGATTCGGCATTTAAGCTGTTGGGGTAAAAAGTGTCTAAGTAACACACCTACCTCTGTTCTTCCAAGTCTTTTAACCATATTGCCACCTCTCCAATAATTGGTCAATTTCGCAATATCCATAAACTTTATTTTTTTAGGATCATTATTATGCAACAGGAAACAAGATGGTTTTTAAACCTTTTTTCTGTATTTCAACAGTGTTCACTTATACTTATTTTTAAGGGTCTTATCATTCTACCTACATATTTGAGGCCACATGGACACTCCAATAGATATATAACATTTTTGCTGTTACAGGTAATGGTGTTTTTTTATATTATACATTTTATGGATATTGTTAGATGTAAACATTGGTGTATCTTTATTCATTGTCATTGTCTTTCTTCACCCAACCAGGGCCGTCTTTAACGCGGGGCAAAATGGGCAGCTGCCCCGGGCCCAGTTGCTCCTGGGGAACCCAAGGCAGCTGCCACTTGAGCCCCGCTGGCCACTGCCCACAACTTCGAGTCCCGATCCTGTCCTTCACCTTCACTATGCGAGCGAGCGAGCGGCATTGCTGCATAGTGAAGGACTTACTTGTTGCTCCTCCTCCTGACCTCCCCTGCCGCACCGCTCACTGTGACGTCACGCGGAGGCGGAGTCATGTCAACGCTAGGGTGAGCATTGCCGTGACTCCGCCTCCTTCCTGAACTGCAGAGCGGCGCCTTTCTGAACTGCAGAGCGGCACCCACTTCAGCCTTGAGCCCAGCTGCCCAACTGATCCTGAGCCTGCTGGAGTCTTCAGAACTGTAAGTATTTACATTAGTTACAGTAATATATATGGTTTTATGGGAGTAAGGGTGATTAGAGGGGAGGGGGAGGCGTGGTTAGGGGGGATGGGTGGTGAGGGGTGGTTAGAGGGGAGGGGTGGTTAGAGGGGAGGGGTGGTTAGGGGGAGGGGTGGTGAGGGGTGGATAGAGGGGAGGGGGAGGGGTGGTTGGAGAAGGGGGAGGGAGGGGTTAGTAGTACAGTACTATCACATTGTTAAAAATAAAGTAATCTGTAAAATACTATATATTTGTGTCAGAAGTTGTGCTTTTTTATTTTTATAATAATGATACAGCCATTTTATTTAATACTTTTGCGCTGATCCTTTCCCCCCCCCTCTATTTTCAAGGGACACTATAGTCACCAGAACCACAACAGCTAAACGTAGTAGTTCTGGTGTCTATAGCATGTCTCTGCAGGCTTTTTAATGTAAACACTGCCTTTTCAGAAAAAAAAGGCAGTATTTACATTACTGCTGAGGAATACCTCTAGTGGCCACTCATCAGACGGCCACTAGAGGTGCTTCCTAGTCCAGTGTTGCACAACGTGCAACACTGGCATTCGCGCTAAACACTCCTCATAGAAATGCATTGATTCAAAGCATCTCTATGAGGCCATGCATGCGCAGTAGCCTCCCAATGCTTCTCTATGGGAAAGCAGTGGGTTGGGTATGATATACATGTGCATATATGTGACATGTTACATTCATGTGCATTGTATTAATGAGGTGATCTGTAATACACTCACAAATTGCACGTTCCTGTGAGTTATATTGCTGTAGAGCTTGTGATACTCACACACTGCACTTTTCTATGCATTTTATTCTGAGGTGATCTGTGATGTACTTGCACATCGCACATTACTGTGAGTTGTATGGCTGTGGAGCCGTGCGATACACTGATACACTTCACATTACTGTAAGTTGTATTAAAGGACCACTATAGTGCTAGGAAAACAAACTCATTTTCCTGGCACTATAGCGTCTTTAGGTCCCCCCCACCTCCAGGGTCCCACTCTCGCCGGGCTGAAGGGGAGGAAGCGGTTAAACTCTTACCTTTCTCCAGCGCCGGGCTCCCTCGGTGCTGGGGAACTCTCCTCCCTCTTCCGACGTTAGCGCTGAATGCACATGCGCTGCAAGAGCCGTGCGCACATTCAATCAGTCCATAGGAAAGCATTTCTCAATGCTTTCCTATGGACTTTAGCGCCTTCTCAGTGTGATTTTCACATTGAGAAGCGTGGAAGCGCCTCTAGCAGCCACTAGAGGCTGGATTAACCCTATTGTAAACATAGTAGTTTCTCTGAAACTGCTATGTATACAGCTGCAGGGTTAACCTTACATGGACCTGCCACCCAGACCACTTCATTGAGCTGAAGTGGTCTGGGTGACTATAGTGGTCCTTTAATGTTAGACGAAATCGTTTGATGAAAGAAGAGGAAGCTTCACTGGCGTGCACATTTACTCTTGCGTGTATACACGCATGCACTGGAGTCTTAACTCGTCAGAGAGAAGATCCATGCAACAGTCATGAGCACAGCTACAGAAGGGAAGAGCAGACAAAGCATGGATGAACAGTGAGAGGAGGAAGGGGATTGGTGGGGCGCATGCTCTCGTTAGATGCCTTCTGTGGGAACTTTGCATCTGTAGTAAGTTAAACAGCATGCTTGGCTGTAACATCAAAATTTTAAATATGCAAAAATGCAATTAAAATATATGCATTTTCACTCTATTGACTTTTATTTATGGAAGTGTCAATCACGTTTATTTATTCAGGAGCTGACTGCCCTCAACATGTCCAAACTTCTGAGTGGTGCTCAGAAGCGGAAGAAGAAGCAGGAGTTGGAGGAAAAAATATGTAGAATTCCAAAAATAACTGGTTTTCTTTTACCTACAAGTGGATCTTCTGCACAGCCTTCTGCGTGTGGATCTTCTAAAGAACATGCTAGTACATGTTCTCAGGAAGAGATTCCTCCTCAAAGTGTATCCGAATATGGCTCTGAAGTCAACACAGTGGATTCTTCTGATCAGCCCATGCCACTAGAAACCACTCCAGTTCCCATGGAAGTTGAGAAACCTAGCTTCCATACTTTTGAAATACAAGACGCAACTGCTGAAGCAGTTGATATACTGCCAAAATCCATGAAAAAGTCAGGTTTCCTAACTGACATTGGTTTGTGGCCCAACTCATCTACTCTTGAGATGCGGGTGTATTGGTCCAACAATGGAAATTCGTCAGTAAGGAAACCTCTGGAACAACTGTGCAATGAAGGATTTCCAAAATCATTTGAAGATGGACGTTGCTGTACAGCAGATATGTTTCTTCGTAACTGTCCCAATGGGGACAAAGTTGAAAGCAAGTGGCTTTGTTACTCAAATAACAGAGGCCGAATATACTGTTTTGACTGCAAATTATTTAGTTCATCAACAAATGCATTTTCCAGTGATGGCTTCAGCGACTGGAAATATGCCAGTGAACTAATTTCATCCCATGAACAGTCTCAACATCATATACGCGCTGTGATTGATACAGCCAAATTTTCATAACTGGAAGGTCGGATTGACTATAAAATGCAACAGCAAACCACCTATGGGCAAAACCTAGTAAAACGTTTGCTTAGTGTCATCGTTTTTCTTGCTGAGAGAGGATTGGCTTTTAGAGGTGATGATCAGACTATTGGATCCCCACATAATGGCAACTATCTTGATATTTTGGAATTACTGTCAGAGTATGATGCTTTCCTGGCACAACACATCCAAACAAAGGCAAACAAAGGAAAAGGATGTACAAGTTATTTATCAGCAAATGCCTGTGAGGAACTCATACCATATTAAAATGGCAAAATACTACTCTGTTTCTGTGGATTTAGCAGAGGATTCTTCTCATACTGACCAACTCACCGTGATTTTTCGATACTTAGAAGAAAATCGACCTGTGGAGCGTTTCGTTACTCCCTCAACAGGGCATAAAGGAGAAGAAATGGCAGATGCGCTCCTAGCATTTCTTAATAGCGTTGGACTTACCATACAAGAATGCCGAGGACAAAGTTACAACAATGCAAGCAACATGTCTGGCCACTACAAGGGTATGCAAGCAAGAATTGTTAACATGAATAAATATGCTAAGAACATACCTTGTTTTTGACACTCATTAAATCTTGTCGGAAAGGATGCTGCAAATTCGTGTAGTGAGGCTGTAAGATTTTTCAATTTTGTACAAGCTCTTTATACATTCTTTAGTGGTTCAACTGGGCGTTACAAGAAGCTTAAAGACCAGCTTGACGAGAAAGGCCTCTCTGTGTCCATGCCAAAAAAAGCTAAGTGACACACGCTGGTCATGTCGTGCAGATGCTTGTCAAGCATTAGTCCATGGCTATGACAATATAATGGACATTTCGTTTGAATTTTCAACTGACATTGAAGAAAAATCTGAGTGCCGTAATACCGCAAAGGGACTATTTGATCAGATAAGCAAACCTGAGACGGGGATTTTTGCAGAATTCTGGAACACTGTTTTGCAGCGTTTCAACAGCAGCAGCAAAACTCTGCAGTCTGCTCAGCTGAACCTAAATGCTGCTGTTGGTGTTTTGAAATCGTTAAAAGATTTTATTAATGAACAGCGTACTAAATTTGATGCATTTGAAGAAGCTGGCAAGCGTCTAACAGATACTGAGGAGTATATTGTGGAACACCGCCGTCTTCAACGTCCGAATGTCCGTCAGCAGCCACTTGACTATGGACACAGTGAAGAAGCTCAATTAACGCCAAAGGAGGCCTTTTATGCTAAGGCCTTTCTCCCATGTGTTGACAAACTTTTAATGTGTCTGGAACATCGCCTAGGAACCGACAGTGAAGTGTGTGATATATTTGGTTTCTTTATAAACTTTCCAGCTATGGACTCTGAATCCATTAACATTGCAGCAGAAAAGTTGTCTGCTTTCTACAAGCATAATCTGGGCACAACATTTGGTGATGAACTAATTCAATTTCAGTCATTCATTTTTCTTTTCCTGGATGAAAAACCAGACGATTGCAGCATAGAGCAATTCATGTACAGTACAATTAATGACAAGGATGTAAGAGATACTTTTCCCAACACGGAAATTGCTTTAAAAATCTACCTTACTTTAATGATCTCTAACAGTTCAGGTGAACGATCTTTTAAAAAAATGAAATTGATAAAAAAACTTACAACGCACAACCATGAGCCAGAGCCGTCTCACCAAACTATCTATAATGTCTGCTGAATCTGATATACTTCGCGGTCTTGATTTTTCAAACATTACAAACTTTGCTGCTCAGAAAGCACGTAGACTCATTGTTTAAATTGCACTAAAATATTTATTTACTATTTTATGTAAAAGTTCTCTGCACTTTAAGTTAATGGTTGTAAACTACGTATTCTTTTATAATAGTCTGCTACTGCAGCAGTCAGGGCTGCCATCAGAAATTTTGGGGCCCTTGACAAAGCACAAGGTGTGGGCCCCCTCCCTCGGGCCCGCCCACGAGTCCGCCCACAGGACTCCTACCTAGTCCGCTGACAATGATGCAGGACTGAATGTGGTGTGTATAGTGGAAGTGAATTAAAATGTGTGTAATGGATGTAGTGTTTGTGCAGTGAATGCAGAGTGTGTGTTTGTGTAGCGGATGCAGTGTGTATAGTGAACGCAGAGTGTGTTTGTGTAGTGGATGTAGTGTGTGTACAGTGATGTAGTGTGTGTTTGTGTAGTGGATGTAGTGTTTGTGTGTGGATGTAGTGTGCGTATTAGACGCAGTGTCTGTGTATAGTGAATGCAGAGTGTTTGAATATGTGGTGGATGTAGTGTGTGTACAGTGAATGCAGGATGTTTGTGTAGTGGATAATGTATGTAAAGTTAATGCAGCGTGTGTGTCAGTGTAGTTAATGCAGAGTGTGTGTCAGAGTAGTGAATGCATAGTGTATGTCAGTGTAGTGAATGCAGTGTGTGGATAGTGTAGTAAATGCAGAGTGTGTGTTAGTGTGTAATGAACGCAGTGTTAGTGTGTAATGAACGCAGTGTCAGTGTAATGAATGTTAGTGTGTAATGAACGCAGTGTCAGTGTAATGAATGCAGTGTGTGTGTCAGTGTAATGAATGCAGTATGTGTGTCAGTGTGGTGAATGCAGTATATGTGTTAGTGTAATGAGTGCAGAATGTGTGTCAGTGTAATGAATGCAGAGTGTGTGTTATTGTAATTAATGCAGTGTGTGTTAGTGTAATGAATGCAGAGTGTGTGTTAGTGTAGTGAATGCAGTGTGTGTGTTAGTGTAGTGAATACAGAGTGTGTGTTAGTGTAGTGAATGCAGAGTGTGTGTTAGTGTAATGAATGCAGAGTGTGTGTCAGTGTAGTGAATGCAGCGTGTGTGTCAGTGTAGTGAATGCAGAGTGTGTGTTAGTGTAATGAATGCAGTGTGTGTGTCAGTGTAATGAATGCAGTATGTGTGTCAGTGTGGTGAATGCAGTATATGTGTTAGTGTAATGAGTGCAGAATGTGTGTCAGTGTAATGAATGCAGAGTGTGTGTTATTGTAATTAATGCAGTGTGTGTTAGTGTAATGAATGCAGGGTGTGTGTTAGTGTAGTGAATGCAGAGTGTGTGTCAGTGTAATGAATGCAGAGTGTGTGTTAGTGTAATGAATGCAGAGTGTGTGTTAGTGTAGTGAATGCAGAGTGTGTGTCAGTGTAGTGTTAGTGTAGTGAATACAGAGTGTGTGTTAGTGTAGTGAATGCAGAGTGTGTGTCAGTGTAGTGAATGCAGCGTGTGTGTCAGTGTAGTGAATGCAGAGTGTGTGTTAGTGTAATGAATGCAGTGTGTGTGTTAGTGTAGTGAATGCAGAGTGTGTGTCAGTGTAGTGAATGCAGCGTGTGTGTCAGTGTAGTGAATGCAGAGTGTGTGTTAGTGTAGTGAATGCAGTGTGTGTGTTAGTGTAGTGAATACAGAGTGTGTGTTAGTGTAGTGAATGCAGAGTGTGTGTCAGTGTAGTGAATGCAGCGTGTGTGTCAGTGTAGTGAATGCAGAGTGTGTGTTAGTGTAATGAATGCAGTGTGTGTGTTAGTGTAGTGTATGCAGTGTGTGTTAGTGTAGTTTATGCGTATAGTGTAAATGGAGCATTCCCCCCACACCTCCAACGTTAAAAGTAAAAAATGTTATTCCCCCCTCCGTGGTTCTTACCTGGTTCAGGGAGGGGGGAGATTCCATCCCTGGTGGTCCAGTGGCATGGTGGGGCCCCCCGGCTCCCTGTTACTGCAGAGGGGGCCCAGTACATTACAGCTCTTCCCTCTCTGTAACTCCTGCGAGCGTGGCGTGCGTGCCGCGCGGAGCATTGCCATGGTAACCCATGGCAACGCTTTGACGGCCGCATGTCTTGCATGAGTTATAGAGAGGGAAGAGCTGTAATGTACAGCTGCAGTCTACTGGCCCCCCTCTGCAAATACAGGGAGCCTTATATATGTGCAGAGAGGCAATGTGGGGCCCAGAAACTGTCCTTGGGCAGCCGAATGCAAACACACTGACTGCATGATCTGCAAGAACCTGCAGGCTGTGGACCAGCCGGTAAGGTCCTTCAATCCTTCAGATGGTAGGCCACCTCATATCCAGGTGGTGCTGTCCATTATGGTTATCAACAGTGATGCAAATCATGTCACTGCTGATGCCCCTCTCAGGCTGGCCCAACTGTTCTAATCTGTAGAACTCCAAATGCTGGGAGGTATGCCGTGGCATAACTAGAAACCACAGGGCCCCAATGCAAAAATTGCCCTGCCCCTTCCCACTCTGACTCCCTCCTCTCCTTCCTCCCACACGGCTCCCGGTGTAAACTGGGAGGAGTGATTGAGGCAGTCACTTCTTCCCAATGTCTAATGTCATCTCAGGGGGCCCAGTCACGCTGTTAAAATGATGCAGCGCTGACCGTGCCCCCTGTAAATACATTGCAATTGGGTGGCCCTAACAGCATGGGCCACCCGATAGGCCCCTTCAATGTGGCCCTGGCGGTTATACCGCATGGACCAAGGCTGCGTTACTTAGCTGGTGGACACTGCGGTCGCAGGGGTCCGCAGGACGGCCGGGCCTCCTGGAGTGATGGGCACGGTCGCAGCTGCGACCCCTGCAACCATGGTGGTTCTGCCACTGGAGGTCTGTATCAGAAGGAATCTTTTAATTTAATCTTGAAGAAGCCTGACATTGTCCTGGTTTATCACCTTATTATGTATTTATCTGTTGTAGGTGTTTTGGGCAATATGTTGATAATGTATGTATATGAAGAAATTCAAATGAATTTATACCTAAGTTACATGTAGTTACATAGTTACATAGCTGAAAAGAGACTTACGTCCATCAAGTTCAGCCTTCCTCACATTTGTTTTTTGGGGAAGGTTGAACTTGATGAACGCAAGTCTCTTTTCAGCTATGTAACTATGACTGGATTTAAAAACTATTTTATTGATCTTAATTGCTAACTGCTGTTTGTTTTAAAGTTTTGTTTATATGTCGTGTTGTCTACTTAAACTAATGAGAATTTTAAATATTTAATCATTTTTATTAAACTTTGTGAGACCATTTGTTTCCATTAGTGACAAAAAGCACTGTTTTAGAGCAGCAGTGAAAGGTAAGTGTTTTTCATTTAATTTTGTTTACTCACTGCACTGTGATTCACTGCTATTTCTTAACCAATATTCCACTACAACTAAATAAATCATTAAAACTGAATTATTGGTATACATTTATTACTAAACGTGAGATGAGTGTTTACACTATTGGAAAGAAACTCCAGACAGAAAAATCCCACATTCAGCTCAGCGACGAGGACTAGTCTTGGCACTACAGATGTTGGTAAACTAAATCTCCCATGATGCAAAGTCAATATTTCAATGCTGTGAGTATCACTGGAAATACACAGTAGTTTGAAAAACTCTAGGTTACTTAAAGCTCTGGAACAGAACATCATTAATAGAAAAAAAATGATGCCATTACCCCAGAGCCTCTGCCTCTTTCTTCCAAAAGAAGGAATTCATGAAGTTTAAAGAGAGTGGACAGGTGAAAGTATTTAACATAACCATGCATTGTTTTGCTATGCTAATTATTAACACTAACTTGAGTGTAACACAGTCATTTGCAGAAGAAGCTCACGACTATACTGTGTGATCATACCTTCCAATTCCACTCAACTGGGTGGGAGCAGTAGCAGATTTATGTATGACGTATCATAAATACATTCATATTCAATAATCAGCGTCCCATACAAACAAAAGGTAGTCTAGCAAAGAATACAATATTCAAAATTGGAGCAAATTAAAATCTCCAAACTGCTGCAAGCTTCCAAAAATGAAGTAAATATCTAGATATTTTAGAATTAGACATATGTATGTACAAGATGGGTAAAACAGCTAATGATTCTAGCAATACAATTCTGTTTTATTGACCTCATCCTGTGGTCCGTCCTTTTGTCTCTCCTGGTGGAAGATCTCCCTATTTGCTCACAGGAACGTCACAATGAAATTACTTTATTACAAAGAACCGTGGAAAGGCAGTGGCTATCAGACTTAGAATTCATAATGAGAGAGGTTATTACATAGATCGAGGAAAATTGAATAAACGACCAACTCACTGTTATTGTACACCATACTTGACTTGCCCCAGATGAGTATAACTTCTGAGGCCATCTTATGCTTTGTCGGTTGTACTGTATCCTTATAGTGGGTTCCTTGCCCTTCAGTCATCTCTGTACATCTTCCGGTTGTTATTTTTCTATATAGAAATGTTGAAATATCTTTGGTCGGATTTAGTAGCACTGCTGTTGATGAACTACTTGTACCTTCGATCTGGCTTTAAAAAAAGAATTAAAGAAAATAAGACATACATTTAGATAAGTGTTGTTCCCATACATTGTAATCAGTATATTGTAATACATAGCTATATTGTGATACATCCATTATACATTGTGGGGGCAATGTCAAGTTGTGATAACTACTTAAAATTAAACAATTACCTGAACTCTTTTTAAAGTATTTTCCACAATGTTTGATAATAGTCTTATACCTGTACGCCAAATCAACATACTCATAATTATTGACTAAAGTGAAAACATTAAGATATCCGTCCATATCTAACACCGGACGCGGCTGAGGTACTGGTTCATGCTGTTGTTCTCTCTCGCCTTGACTATTGCAATCCCCTTCTCACCGGTCTTACATGTTCCCAGCTTGCACCGCTGCAATCTATAATGAATGCGGC